TTCTTCTTCTTCTTCTTCTTCTTCTTCTTCTTCTTCTTCTTCTTCTTCTTCTTCTCAGTTAGAGCAGACTTCTGCCACCGCCTGGGAAAATTTCAAATCTAACTCCCACCGAAACAGAAAACACTCTAGTTAGCATTGTTTTAAAATATAGAATACCTTCGAAATCGGAATGTGGCTGTCTGAAAGCAAGGGATCCTACGAAGCTGATAAAACGGTTACACACTTAGAAATCAGTTGCACTGCAGGTTGAAGAACCAGTAGTCGACTACCCTTGAGATCTAATAAGTTAAAGAACCAACAATCGACTACCCTTGAGATCTAATAAGTTAAAGAACCAACAATTGACTATCCCTGAGCTGAGATCTAGCAGGTGAAAGAACCTATACAGTTGACTACCCTTGAGATCTAGCCGGGGAACGCAAAGTAGAAGGCTGATGGAAACATACCATCTGCCGGCAATGACGGCAATCCACCCTGTGGGGTTGCAGTCGCAGCAGTGGGGGTTGTGGTTGTGGTGGTGGTTGTGGTGGTGGTTGTTGTGGTGGTGCTGGTGGTGGTTGATGTGGAGGCTTCAGTAGTTTCCTCTGTGGTTGTCATATCAGTAGTGTTCTCCTCCCCTGTTGTGGAAAAAAATGTGAGGCGATGTAGTGAAATCGGGTGCTCGTCAAAATAATTATGAAAATAGGAGAAACAGGCATTTTCCGCCACTCTGAACATTTTTATGGAATTTTTATTTTCTGGCTTAACCGTTAACCTCTTGTATGTCCATTTAAAAGTACGTCTCATGTGAAATTTTCTGAAAAACATTGAATAAAGGCACAAAATATATCATTTTTCAGTTTTCAAAGACTCTTTAGGTAATGGAGTAACCAAACTCTTGGCGGCCATTTTCTCGTAATTTAACCACTGAAACCAGGCGACTTTAGTTCCTTCAATCGCAAGTATCTTGAGTCCTATTCAAGATAAATGGATAGTTATCTGATTGAAAGCAAGGCAAATAAATCAGCTTTCAGATGATCCCAATAACTCCATATGTCCGAAAGTTGACGTTTATCATTTATTTTCTTGAAACAGCTCAATGTTTCACCTTTTGGGCTACCTCAGGAACAACTGAAAGTAAAATTAATTAATGGGCGCTGTATAATAGCAGGGAAATGGGCCCAACAAGAGTAGGGATAAAGGGTCTTAAGGTTACATCATCATCATCATCAGCAGCAGCAGCAGCATCATCATCATCATCCTCATGATCATACGACAAGCCTGTGACAGACATGGGTGATAATGCCTCCCCGTTCATTCCATCGCCCCTGCGCTTTAAAAAAAAGGCTACGTTATCCTGCTCCTGTCACTTATCTGTTGAGACTCTTCAAGAAAGTTGCTCTGTGTCTACCCCTGCTTCGTTTGCTTTTAATGTTGACAGTAAGCGTAAGGTGTTCAATGCCTGGGAATGTATCTAGCTTAACATTATTATTGTTTATATTACTGTTCATTTATATTATGCATGTGACTGTGAGCCTGTCTGTGAATGCAAGCATACTGCGTGTGGGTGCATGTTTGTGTGTGTGTGTGTGTGTGTGTGTGTGTGTGTGTGTGTGTGTGTGTGGTGAAACACCAAACAAATGCGCAAAGATCTGAACAAAAACGATGTATCTTACCTTATCTCATGTTCCTTCAAGTGTACCAGAAACTTAATTTGTTTATTTAAGTGTACCAGAAATTTCATGTATCTATTCCATCCCATACTTAGTACAAAAACAATAAGCGAAACATACCATAACTAACGTCCACAGATTCTGTTGAAGTTGCAGAATCGGTTGTAGCCCCAGAATCGGTTGTGTTCCAAGAATCGGTTGTAGCCCCGGAATCGGTTGAGTTCCGAGAATCAATTGTAGCCCCGGAATCGGTTGTGTTCGAAGAATCAGTTGTAGCCCCAGAATCGGTTGTGTTCCTAGAATCGGTTGTAGCCCCAGAATCGGTTGTGTTCCAAAGGTCTGTTGTAGTAGAGGAATTGGCTGTGTTCCAAGAATCGGTTGTAGCTCCAGAATCGGTTGTGTTCCAGGAATCGGTTGTAACCCCAGAATCGGTTGTGTTCCTAGAATCGGTTGTAGCCCCAGAATCGGTTGTGTCCAAAGGGTCTATTGTAGTAGACGAATTGGCTGTGTTCACTGCAAGAAGAAAAAAATCCTAATAATATCATATATTGTTACTGAGATAAAGAAGGAGGCAGTGTGCGCTTAAAACACTGCGGACGACAAAACGAAAGTTCATGTTTTCAAAACCCATAACCAGAGGTCTCACTGTTTGTATGATGATGATGATTATAGTAATAATAATCATAATAATAATAATAATAATAATAATAATAATGATAATAATAATAATAATGATAATCATAATGATCATCTGTCAATTTCTGAAAATGTGTGTGTGCCTGGGCTCGGGAAAGGTACTGTAAGACATATCTTTATGAATTGTGTTTTACGGTACAAAAATACTT